CGTGTTAACCGTTTACATGTTGAGAAATCTATTTAATATTATAAAATATAAATTAATATTTCTAAAAATTATGAATATGTTTACAACATAATTATTATATTTACAAATACAAATAATTAAATAGCTAATAAGATAACATAATTATACGAAAACACAAATACTAAATTAAAAATTATATTTTAAATAATAAAATTATGTTCCCCAATTAATTTTTTGTTTTAAATTAATTTAAAGCTAAATTAAATTATTAATACAGACTCGCGCGTAGCGCGAGTATAAAATCTAGTATAATATCCAAAGATTGAGTTGTCCTTCAGGCTTATATTTATCAGAATTTCCCTCTGAATCAAAGAGGATGATGATAACCATATATTATCCTAAATGACGTTTCTAACAATTAATCAAAAACACAGAGTTTATAAAAATTATAGGAGAAGCTTTGATAATGGTTACTTTGTTCGATTCTTCAGATGTTTTAAAGTCTCCAACATTTGGTAGGTTGATCTTCGTCTGGTTGCTTTCAAATAATTTCAGATCTAAGAAACTCTTCATCAAAGAAAATTAAACCTTTTTCATGAGGATTTATGACAAAAACAAAAACAAAAATTCAACTCTTTGTAAGAGCAATCAAAACAAACTAATTACTAATCGATACCTTTCGATTTCTTCAAGCTGAAGTTGTCTTTCTCAAATATCACCATCGATTTCGATCATCACATAGATTGTTCGTCGGTCAAGAGGAGACGACCGTTTTGGAGATCTCTTTTTTTCCATTTCGTTTTCTTTTTTTTTTTTTGACTTGGAAATTAGTCAACGGTTCGTTTTAACTTAAGTGGCTGAATATTGGAGTTTGGGCCGATTAATATAACTTAAAAATGGATCTTTTTATTTTTCACTTAAGCTAAGATTTTTTGTACTCTTCGATCCAACAAAAGCCAAGTTTGTTTAATAGAATGTTAGATATAACAAAGGCCCATTTCCTTTACATAAAAGTAAATTGAACTAAGTTTAAAATTAATTATATCTATTTTATTTCATTACTTCAAACAAAAATACATTTTATACTAGTTCAATAAATATTCACTGCTTATAATATTCTAAAACTTAATTTAGCGTTATTAATTATAAAACGATTTATTAATTATAAAATATTTGGCAAATATCAATGGTAGATTATTGTATTAAGTTTTTAATAAAATAATTTTAACTACATCGATACATAAAACCAAAAAAGTGGTAAAACAATCATTTAAACTTAATAACATTGTCTTAGTTTCAAAAACAATACATATAATAACACATTATAAAAATATAATATATATATATATAATATTTCGAAAGAGATAATCCCGCGCACATTGCCATTATTTTTCAAATATTTACAGCACATTCCCATTAGAATAAATTTTTTAACTACCTAAATTTACTTTAGATATTATAAATTTTTTTACTACTATATTTATTGTTAAAAACTTTAACTAATTGTATAGAGAACTATATACACAACTTTAATCTCAACAGAAAAATATATAGTCAAACCTATGATCTTATTAACAACACGTAAACTAGCATATACTAGAAAGCATATCATTTGATTTATATTCTCTATATTTTTTATATTATTTACTTACCAATTGTTCATATGTCCATGCTTTTAATCATTTTCTTATAACAGTAGAATACAATTTTTCTATGTTTCATATAATTATGAAATCATTTTTCTATTTTATTGGAGAACATTTAATCATTTTAATTAATTATATCATATGAAAGTTCACATATGTTAATAAAACATCATATATGTGATGACAATGCACATGTTAATCTGATTTTCTAAAGAACTCTTTAAATTTTAAAATCAAAATTAAAGTGGTTAAATTTGATAAATACAGTTTCTAAAAATATCCGAAAAGGGCATTAGAGGCTTAATAATGCTCAAGATATATAATCAAATCATTTAAATATGGTAATGAGACATTTTAAAACATCTGAGGAAAAAACAGATGAAACAAATATTTGCCAATAATATTATAATAAATACAAAATAATTTGAGCCATAGTTTCAGCAATTATTTATATCTTCGAAAATATAGTTTTCAACTCAACAAAACATGTATCCAGAATCTTATTTAAACCATAGAAATTTTGTAAAATAATCTCATTATACTTTCAAAATAATTGATACCAAAATTATGAACCGGATTATATGCGGGTCCAATTAATCTTAACGAATTTTTTAAAATTTATTATATATTATATATGAATATATACCATGCCTTAAGGAAAAAATGAATCTGTGTGAACCTAAGTTGTTGATATACATATGATTAACATTCATATCACCATATATTTTTTTCTTACAACAAAGTTTCAAGTCATAAGTTTTAATGGAGTTTTCTGTTTTTCTCAAATCCTAGATATTAAACTGAATCAAACTCAACTTATTAGACAAATCATGGTCAGACTTTCCAACGGATTAGTCCAATATGGTTTCCTAAATATAGCAATGTTTATTACATAAATATTCCGCGCTTTCAAAGCGCGGATCAAAATCTTCTTTTATTAGATAACATCAAATAAATACAAATAGATAGTTTCGAGTCTTTGTCGAGTAGGATCTGTTAAGATTCATGTACGTTTTAATGAACCTAAACATATCAAAAACTCTCTGATAATAAACTTAATGTTCATTCTCCCTTCTATATTTTTGACCCGTCAATATATACAAAATAAAATACAACTATCTATAAAAAATCGTATTAGTGAACAACAGTGTTGTAACCAGCAAAACATATCTTGCGCATCCAAAGCGCAGATCAAAATCTAGTATAAGAATTAAAACTCTATTTGTTATTCGTGTATCTTAGTCTAAAAAAATAATGTGATTTTGATTATTCTATCCAAGAAAATTTTTTTGTGTTACTCAAAGTTTGAAATAATATTGACATACTTCTTAAACAAAAATGAACACATGCACAATTAACCAACACATTCTATGTTTTACGGCAACTTTATATCCGACATACACAGACGCTGCCTGGATCTGCCAAAATCCTGATCTGCCATTATTAGTTGTGAATTGTACATTTGTGACATTTGCCCATTTCAATAAACCAAATCTAGTCCATATATCTACCTAACTTGTAGCAAAGATCCAAAAATATTATATACGTTAATTTATATCCATTGCATTAACTTTCAGGAATCTAGTGATTATCAAATCCATTGCATTCAACACAAGTTTAAAGCAAATATCTTGTGATAATGTAATATTATTTACGTTTGCCTTCTGATATTGTCAAGATCTTCTGAATATGTAACATAATATATTTCAGGTCAGGTATGGCTAACACGAAGACTATATCTCAATATAAAAACCAAGAAAGAAGAGTTATACTAACAGCTAATCAGATGATAGTAACTAGTTTGAAAGAAACCACACAAGGCCTTCCACTTTACGGATTGATTAAAGATATTCAGAATGTGTTAAAATGGCTTCTACTCTATCCAGTGATGCCTCTAAACGCCCCGAGCTCATGTTGAATAACGGTTCTTCCGTACCAAGAGCCCTGTTCCATTCATCAAGACCATCATTACCTAAAGCGTGGTGAAATCACGTACTTGAAAATTAGTGGATATATAAAGATGTCAGAATTGGTGACGCTTACCCAGTAACTTCAGGGAGTACAAAATCAGCTCTCCAACCAAACCGGAAATCGACACCAGGAGTCAAACCAAGAGTGGTTTTGTTTCGGATCCGAGACACACCATCACCACCCAAACAAGAGGTAAGCTTCCACTTCCAACCCATTGCGTTCATTTGAAAGTTATGCCCAACACCAACCTACAGATTCAGATTTACATAATATGTAAAAGAGAGGGCACAAAAATAAACTCAACAACAACCAAAAAAAGAACCTGGAGGTTGAGAAATCGGGTGAGAGGAATCTTCTTTGAAAGAAGACGAACTTCTTGGTGTAAAGGCTCATAAATAAATTTCCACTTCCTTTCTGGGGATAATGGCTTCAAAACAAGCTTTGCGTGGTAATCATTCGTGGGTTCGTTATACAACTGGAACATTCGATTAAAAAACAATGATGAACATTCGATGCCTTTACAACAGAATACTTAGCTCCATCTATTATCCACAATAAGTTTATTTTCAAGAATCTCTAACAAAGCGATTACTTAGTTTTCGCTTTCAGTTCAGAGAGAGAGAGAGAAGAGAAGGACCTCGAGATTGACGCCGACGCGGAGGCCTTGGAGCTCTTTTCGGAACTTGACAAAAAGCTCCGATGGCATTAGGTTGATTTTGTAAAGCTCGTCCCATGACGGAGGTTCCTCCGGTCGCGAACTCGGTGGTGGCTCCATGCTTCCAAACACACAAACCTCTTTCTATAAGTTTATCCCAATAATAAATATAAGAGGATGTGGTTGTTTTTTTTAACAATTTAACCGGTTCCGGTACAAGATGATTGTTTTCAGCTCTATAAAATCAACTTATTGATTTTCTACATAAAACGAAGGTAGTAGTAGTAGTATATACGGCCTAAAGCCCATAAACACAAACCGAATGCAACTCTGCCATCACAAAGTGCTCTAACAGTGAAACTTGAATCAGCATATTGCACAGAGATAGAAAAGACAGACCAAAGATGATGATCCAAGTAGCTAAAGAGCTCAACCGGATCCTCACATCATTTTAGACACAATCATTTCTTTCTAAAAGCATGGAACTCAGATTCCTATATAAAACAAATCATCTCTCATGAGTCATTTACCTTTCTTCTTTCACTTGTACAAATAGCTTCAATTTAACAGCAAACACAATGCTGTCGTAATTTACAAGGAAGTAAATGATAGAAACCATCTATAAACTGCAGCTTTGATTCCATCAAAAAAAGTAAATAATAGAAACCATTTATAAACTGCAGCTTTGAAACCATTTACAAGGAAGTAAATGATAGAAACCATTTATAAACTGCAGCTTTGATTCCATCAAAAAAGTAAGAACTTCTGAGATTCCATCATCTTTAGTTACAAAACCAACCTTGATAGAACCTACGCTTTGTTTGTCATATTTACAATGGAGATTGCTCAGATGTCTCTACCATCTGCTTTCTACGCCCACCTGCGACTTCCTTCTGTAGTTCCGAGTTAGACATACGCTCCACTTCCAAAGCTCTCTCAAGCTTTTACATTACAAAAACAAAAGATTCAGTGATCAAATGTGTTATCAGAAAATGATTTTTTTCTCAAAACCAAATTTACATTTGCTGCCCGCATGCTCCACTCACTCAATATCGCCCTCAGCCTTTCGTTTTCTTCAACATACTGCACAAACATCTCAAAGTTTACTTTGAATCTTGAATTAAAAAATCTATAGATTTTTTCCTACAATACCTGACTGTTGGTATTGTTGACACGCTGCACCTCTGCATCCCTCTCTGCTATCAAAGAACGAGCAAGCCGTAGCTCAGACTGAAGTTGGTTCATCTGCAAGATAGGTTGTTCACAAGAACATTCACATTCACATTGCGTAGAGATGGAGCTTCAGAATTAAGTGTTACCTCAGCTGAAAGTGTCCTCAACTCCTGATCTCGAGCAGCTAAAAGATGTGCCAGATCAACCTACCAAGCATTTAATGAGGAAGAGTATTAAGCTACTGCTGCTATTGTGAAGGAAGCTTGCCAGAGATAATCTTCACCTGAGGGGTGCTTCCATCATCAGATTGTTCATATTTGCTTAGTTTCTCTTGCAAAGACAGAATCTTTGAAAACGGCACACATCAAGAAACGTTAGATGAAAAATGTTTTGAAAGGGAGTACTGTATCATTCATTAGGGGTGGTACCTCCTCGCTTAGAAAATGGAGGTTTTCGCGCTGATACTGTAACAAAGCCGTTTGTTGATCAGAAAGTCGACCTTCATAATACCTCAAGCCGTCCATAGTACTTGACGGTTGAAGAGGAGAGTATAACGACTTCAAGACATCTGGCCTGGAATTAACGGAATTGTATTGATGCACATAACCTGAAATACGACTACTAGACTCAACAATAACATATAACAATCACTCTCATGTCTTCCATTAGATATCATTTGTATCGTTCAATGATCTGATATTTACGCAATATACAGTTGGATTATATTCTACATTAACATCTACTATTTATGTGAAGAGCACTCACCTATATACAAACTCATGAAGAAGCCAGCACACACTGATTCAGCAATCATGATGATCCTGTAGATCATATCCAGAAAAAAAAAAAAGCATTAGCTGCTCTTGTTTCATCGCGTCTTCAAACTGTTTTGCAGCATACGATGCAATTACGGATTTATAACTAAGATACTCAAAAAGCGGATAACGAGCTACAAACCGTTGTAAAGCAGAAGTAGAAAGAATGCTGATTTGGGGATCCCATACTATCACAAGAAGCATCGCAGCGGTCCCTGGACATATATCGAAGGTACTTAACTCATCACGAATGCAAATGACATGTAGTCTCAAAAAACACACGAAGACCGTAGTTAATTAACACAGACAAGAAGCAAGTTTGGTTAAAAGTTTCAGTCATGCATGTCTGCAAATGTATTAACATGTTAAAAAGGCTTGTAAAACTTTCCCACTCATTTTAAAAAAAAAAATATATATTTTGATATGTTTCAATCCACAGGCTAGACCGAAATGATTTTCTGCATATGTTTATTCCCTGAATCAAATATAACTTATAAACTTCACAACCAGTAAAATCAAGAGAAGATGACATGGTTGGACAGATACCATATGAAGCAATTGCAAATGGAAGACGAACAACATGCTTCAACTTCTGACTGAAACTGTAATAACCCTGCAGACGATTTTCATATTAATCAGTCAGTCTATTACTAAAATAAAAGCCATTCTGTGTAAGGAAGTAACTAAAGCTTACTCGTCCTACCTAAAAACTAATTCTCAAAACCAAAAATAAAGAAATAGCAAAAAAAAATGTATCACTAAAGCTACCACGTTTTTGTACCTGAATACGTATTTTCTGGACTTGAAAAACAAAATACTGCTGAAAGATACCTGCGACGACAGGACACAAGGAAATTAACTTAAGGAACAAAACTGATCAATATCATATAATGTGCGCAAATACAAAATAGACATATATTAAACTGTTAATATAACAGAGTCACTATGAAAGAGCAGAATCACTCACGTGTTCTCCATCGACAAGAAAACCAGGAAAGACATTACGATAATCTAAAAGTTGGTCTGATAAAACTAGAGAAGAAGGTTCGCAGATAGACAATTTTGAATAGTAGGATAGTAGTAGCGTTCCCACCTCAATTAACTAACAACCTAGAATGTTAAGATAGGGGTAAGAAGAATGGCGAGTTTATGAGATCTAAAATCAACAAATGTCCAAGATACTTTTAGGAAATGTGTTTCTTGGATTGTAATCAAAGCAGTTGAAGATAAAGAGAGAAAAGTTTGGAAACCAGTGAGAATCAAAAGCGCAACATCACAGCAGCAGAGCAAAGAAGGTGTCAAATGGTGGAGTTGATGAAATATCCAAGGAGCTCCTGCAGCTAAAACAGCATAGCCTGCCAATAGAATCATATAGAGGTAACTTCCAACAAGGCTTCTAGATTTCCTGTGACCGAATAAAGGTGCTTCTTGTAATATGTCAAGGAACCTACAAGAGAAGGCAACTAAAAGTCAAAGGAATATCATTCCTGTCCCACAAGATGTTGATTTGGAAGCAAAAACAGTGTTGCATGTTTTGTCCATCAAAAGGACATGTTATTATATATATATATATCAAAGGGGTTTAAGGAAAAACAAGTCGATCGAGTCTGGGAGCGAGGCAATCGAAATCCACCTAAAAGAATTTTTGTACAATGAACAAACAAAAGAAAGGGGGAGAGAGACATACATAGCGTTCTCTTCGTTGGTCATTGGATTCGACGAAGCACGTCTCTCCGTTGACATCTTCGATCTTAACCTCCGACCAAAGAGTTTCTGCCTTTCTCGTGTGTAAAGATCAATTGACAAAGAAATAAAAAACAATCCTTGGAAAAGTTTTGATAGGAAATTCGAGAAACCAAAAAATATTCCGGTTTTCTATAATTAATTAAACCAGTAGAGTAGAGGAAGACCCTCTGGCTGACCTAGGAAGGTTGTGTTCCAATGTTTCAGTTTCTTACAGACACAGATGAGGTAAAAAAAAAAGGAGGTTGACCAGCACAAAGCCCTAGCTCCTCCCAAATCGCAGTTTCAAGCAGTTTCTTTGACGCCGTTATGATCCGATCATCCTTGGCAACCACGGTTGGCCTCTTCCACACACACTCTCATGGCGGAGCGCAAGCTCGTCCACTAAAGACCAACACCCGAGAAGTAACCCATTGCCCCGAAGCTTGGTTAGTCAAAATCCTCTCAACTCTCTTCGTCTACAGGGTTCCCGATTCCGATCTCTGTTTCTGCTACCTCAGCAAGAATATAAACCCCTTCATCGCATTCGAGGTCGTCAAGAAACTTAACAATCCTCACATCCGGTTTCGGTTTTGGGAGTTTAGTAGATCCAAGCTCAACATTCGCCACTCTTTTTGGACTTATAACTTGCTCACTAGATCCCTTTGCAAAGCCGGTTTGCACGATTTGGCTGGGAAGGTGTTTGAGTGTATGAAGAGCGATGGTGTTTCTCCCAACACTCGCTTATTAGGCTTCTTGGTCTCTTCTTTCGCCGAAAAGGGTATGCTTCATTTCGCCACTTCTTTGCTTCTTCAGTCTCAGTCTTGTGAGGTTGAAGGAAGTTGTCTGGTGGTTAACAGTTTGTTGCACACCTTAGTGAGGTTGGGTCGTGTCGACCATGCCATGGATCTTTTCCAAAACCATCTCAAGTTTCAGTCTTGTAATGATACCTGGACCTTTAACATTCTCATTCGAGGTTTGTGCGGCGTAGGGAAAGCTGATAAAGCGTTAGAGATATTGGGTGAGATGACTAGTTTTGGTTCTTCTCCTGATATCGTTACTTATAATACTCTGATTAAGGGTTTTTGCAAGAGTAATGAGCTCAACAAAGCCTACGATATGTTCTGCGAGGTTAAGTCCAGAAAGGGTTGTTCTCTCGATGTTGTTACTTATACTTCGATGATGTCAGGGTACTGCAAAGCTGGGAAGATGAAGGAAGCCTCTCTTCTGCTAGATGAAATGGTTGATCTGGGGATTTATCCTAATAATATCACTTTTAATGTTCTTGTCGATGGTTACGCCAAAGCAGGTGAGATGTCTTCTGCCGAAGTCATTCGCGGGAAGATGGAAAGGTTTGGCTGTTTCCCAGATGTTGTGACCTACACTTCTTTGATTGATGGGTACTGCAGAGGAGGACAAGTGAAGAAAGGGTTTAGTCTTTGGGAAGACATGAATGCCAAAGGAATGTTTCCTAATGCATTTACCTATTCCATTCTTATCAACGCCCTCTGTAAAGAGAATAGGCTGCTCAAGGCTCGTGATCTTTTGAGGCAGTTGGCTGGCGAGGGCGTTGTCTCAAAACCGTTTTTGTACAACCCTGTCATTGATGGGTTCTGCAAAGCTGGAAAGGTCAACGAGGCAAATGTTATTGTCGCAGAGATGGAGAAGACGAAATGCAAACCAGATAAGATCACTTTTACCATTCTTATAATTGGGCATTGCATGAAAGGAAGGATGGGTGAAGCAGTCAGTATTTTCCACAAAATGGTGGCGATTGGTTGCTCACCGGATAAGATCACAGTGAGCTCTTTGTTGTCATGTCTTCTTAAGGCTGGAATGGCTAAGGAGGCCTATCAACTAAACCAGATTGCAGCAAAATGCCAAAGTAATGATGTAGCACCTCTAGAGACGAAACCTGTAGTGACGAAAGCTGTGAATGTAACTCTGGCTGCCTGTTAAGCTTTCTATTCAATATCCCTGTACATTGGCCATTTCTGCCTTCATGCATTCTGTACACATGTTAGGCGTAACTGGAAGCAAAAAGAAAAAACAAACAAAAACTCACAGTAAGCATCTGTCAGTCCTTATTCCATTTTGAAGACTGAAGTAGAGTGTCATTGCTCTTAGTTAACCAGTTTGCAGTCTATGTGGTTCAGATGCTTATTGTGCCAGTTGAATATCTTTTTCAGGCTATTCTACTGCAAGAGATCACACTTCAGTGTAAACTGCCGAGAATGTACCCAAAACATTTCGTCTGCAATATCCGTGATATTCCATTTCCTTGGTAGATTTTAGATCCAGCATATTTGCTCCTAGGAGTTTCTTTTCCAATTGCGTCATCTGGATTAGGTTGTGTTGAAGTAAAGGATGATCGAACTTGTGAGAGAACAATTTTTGGATAAATGAGAAGTTACTTGAGAACTTTGAAGTTCACATGAGTGAGATGGAAGATAGTTGCTTCATCTGGTGCCATGTTGTTTGTTTTAAAACAAAGAAGTGTTGATTCCTCTTCTTTAAGATCTGCAAGTTTATGAATTAAAAGTTGTTCAGCATGATTTTGGCAGCGCAATGTGCTTAGACAATAGCTCTACCAGTAAAGATCCAAAGATTCTCACAGTTCCAAGTTAAAACTGCATGAGCGATAGACTTCTCGAAGAAACTGAAGTTTTGTCTTAAGCTGGGGCTGAGGTTGGGAGGAATTGGTTATCTGAGAGTCCGAGTTTTTTTCTGCGAGGGGGGGGGGGGGGTTTGAACCGGTGTAGAATCTCTCTTTG